TGGGGTCGCTATGAGTCGGTTCCGACTCGATGGCACCTGACAACAACAACAACAACAACAACAGATGGGTCTGGTGAAAAGAGACTGGGATAAGATTCGTATGATTCAATAGTGAATAATTGTTATGACTAATTGCGACTGTCACAACTGTAAAGGTAGAAGTTTTGTAACTAAAACAGGGGAGTGGTTAATCTTACAGTCCAGAAACAGAGGACCCTAGGACCATCAAGGGAGAAGCACACAGTGAAATGCAGAGAAGTAGCGATACCAGAGAAGGAGGCAGAGATGGGGTCATGGAGAGGGGGAGCAGCTGAGGACTCTAGATTTATGGGAAGAGAGGGACTAAAAGCTGGTGGCCAAGAGGCAAATTTGTAGAATGGGCCCTTTGGAGATGTAAATTATTATATATGACTGAATGTTGTTTGTTTTTTTTAAAAAAAAGCTAAAATGAATAGAGAGAAATACTGTTAACTGATGGTACATGGAGGGGGTTATAATCCTTATAACGAAACAGGGTGCATGTTGAATGTAAAACTGATGATCTGCCCTGTAAACTTTCACTCAATCCACAATAAAAATGTTAAAAAAAAAAAAGATTATAACGAAACAAGGTGTATGTTGAATGTAAAACTGATGATCTGCCCTGTAAACTTTCAATTAATCCACAATAAAAACCTTAAAAAAAAAAAAAGATTGTTGTTGTTAGGTGCCATCCAGTCCGTTCCAAATTATAGCAACCCTACATAGGGCTTCCAAGGCTGTAATCCACACAGGCTCAAACTTCTCCCACGGAGCAGCTGGTGGGCTTGAACCATCGACCTTGTGATTAGCAATCCAATGTTTATCCTACAGCGCCCCCAGCATTCCCTCATAAGGATTGTTTGTTGTCCTCTGGTGAGCTTGAACCGCCGACCTTGTGGTTCAAGCAACCTTGAAGTCCAGCTCATTAACCCACAGTGCCATACCAGGACTCCATGAAGATTATGGCCTACTACATCCTATTAGGGCATTCTATTCTTCCCTAAAGGGTCCCTATGAGCCAGAATCAACTCAGGGGCATGTGACAACAATAATCTTTCTATTAAATTATTACCATAGAGATACTAGTTATTGGACCACCACACACATATATATACATAATGCATGAAAGACAGATCTGGGTGACTTTAGCGGTATCACTAACTATATAATTTAGAGTTTCCATACCTGGAAAATGGGTGTAATAATAGTTACTTCACTGGCACCATGAGATAGTAATAGCAAGCTCTTAGTACACCTGGTTGCTACTATTACATGAAAGTACAAACGATGGTTCAACTTGGTGGTTAATTTATTCACTCAACAAATACTGAGATCAGTCCATGTACCTGTTTTCTGTTTGGAATTCTGCTTCATAAACCTCTACTCATTCTTCAGAATTCTGTTAAAATGTACTATGATGTCTTGCCCCCTCTCAAGTTAATTCAAAATAAAAACACTAAACCTTAAAACTCAAAAGGTATGTAGGAATAAAAACATAGCTGTTGATCAAAAGAAGCCAGACACCAAAGAGTATACGTCGCATGTTTCCATTAACACAAAGTACAAAAACAAGGAAAATTCTTATGACAGAAATCAGAACAGTGGTTCCTCAGTGGAAGTTAATGGCTGGAAGAGGACAGGAATGGAGATTCTGAAGTTAATTTTTCATTTCTTGACCTGGGTGCTAGTTCCATCGGTATGTCAATGGTGAAAACTACCAAGCTCTTCACTGGTGTTTGCCCATCTGTATTTATCCTCAAATTAAAAATTCACCAAAAAAGAAAAAGAAACCCCAGTACGTTTTCAGAAATTTTCAACTACAAAACTCTGAATGAAGTTTTTGGACTCTACACTTTTTTCCCTGTAGCTTTTGAGGTCCTGTTTTTATTCTGCCCTAAGCCTGTGCTGAAATCTGTGCCTAGAAATGCTTTCCCGACTAATTCATGGTCCCACAATATCCGGGGCTATACTCTTCGAACACTGAATTTTGGGTAAATTGTCTTCTTGTTCTGTTGTAACCCTGCAAACAGTACTGGGAAGTTACAGAGAAATCAGTCCTTACAGATCCCGCTAACCCATAGCTCAATACTCGTAGCAGAGCAGTTATGGACACATAACTGAGACTAGTAGCAAGGCCGGAAGAACAAGTCCGGGAAGAAGGAAGTCTCCCTAGGAATCCGTCCGGCAGCGCCAGCCCGCGCAGCCTTCCAAGCGCGCAACCTTGCCCCTTTCCCAAGCACTTTCCCAACTCCCTCCTCGCTTGGCCACGCCTCTCACCACTGGGCCGTCAAAGGTCCCACCCACTAGGCGTGGCCCTGCCCGGGGAGGATCCTGATCCCGCCAACAGTGACTCCGCCCTCTCCTTCCGCTGAGAAACCTGTCCCTTTTATTTAAAGATTGTTTACGTCACTCCGCCTTACGTAGCTCTGCGTCATCAGTGCAAGGCGCGGAGGCGGGACTTCCGGTCTGTGGTTCTAACAGCTTCCGGGATAAGCCGGAAGACCGGACCCTGGATCAGAATCGGTGATTGTCAGCCCCTCCCCCGACCCCTGCCCGGCCCCTACGGATAGACGAATCCAAGGGCCGTCCCAGCGAAGTCAAAACACTTAATCTGGCCACTTCAGGTGAGGACCTCCTTCCCCACCCGGGCCGAGTACCGATTCAAGCCCCCTTTAATTTCCCATGACATCCCGCGTCGTTAAGCCCCGCCCACAGTCCACAGCCCCGCCCCGAAGCTTGAGGGGTGTGGATGGTTTGTGACCCCCCACCTGACCCTACTACCCCTCTCGGGCTGGGAGAGCTGGGCTTGAGCTCAGTGGTTGGGATCGGACAGTCGTTCGGCTTGGGTGGACCCTCAGACCCTTGCTATTCAGCGCCTCAGAAATAGAGCCACCCAAACGCCGAGCCTTCGCCTCAGAAAAGGAAGGGCCGGGGCATCTCTCTCAGGCTGCGGAGAGAGAAGGCCTCTGAGACGGGAGACCTGGGGTCCTGCCCTGCTCCTCTGCACCGTCTGTGCCTCTCTTCGCCGCAAGTTTCGTTTTTTCAGTAAATCGGGGTTAATGACAAGCCTGCTTATCATCAGGGTTTATTTGGGGGAGTGAGTGATAAACAACGGCTACCATTTATTAATTGAACAATAGCAATGTGCCAAGTACATTGCACAGGCTAAGCATTTTGCTTCCATGATTTCACGTCATCTTCAAAACAACCTTATAAGGTAGGTACCTATTTTTTAACCCCGTTTTACTGATGAGGAGGCAGAGGCTCTTAAAGTTGTTCAAGGTTACATAGCTAATAAGAGAAAAGACCAGGATTATGATTAGTTTTTTTCTGACTCCCTGGCTGGTGTGCTAAATAAGGATTTGGAAACTCTTCAGATGTTAATTTGTCCCACAAATATAATTTAACGCTTTTGCTATTATGCTGGACACTATGGTGCAAACAGGAAATACATGTATGTGATCCTTGTCTTCCAGGAACCTAGTGGAGAGAGGTGGACAGGTTACTGAAGTTATTGGTGCTTTGAGAATGGTCTGATTTTGATAAGGACCAGGCTGGATTTGCTCAGGGACTGCTGGGAAAGCAGCAGATTCACCAAGGGAAAGAGTAGGTACTTCATGGAGCAAGCTAAGATCTTCCAGCCTTTCAGAGAACCTGGCCAAGGGAGAACCCTCACAGTACAAGAAGAGAAAGCGGGATGTGGATTGTGAGAACTTGGGTAGTTCTGCTTGGGGAGTGGTTTTGGCACTTGTGAGCCCATTTCTGGGGTCCAACCTATTTGGCTTCTCCAGGGCTTACCAGAGGATTTCGAAGGAGGCCAACACAATGTCTGCTGATGGCCCCTTGTTGTTAAGTGCCATTGTCAAATCCATTCAGACCCATAGTGAGCCTGATTAGGGTTTCCAAGGAGCTACTGGTGAGCTTGAACCACCGACCTTGCAGTTCAAATGGATTTGCAGTCTGCTGCATTAACCCACAGCGCCACACCAGGACTCTTGATGCTCCCTACAGAGCTGTTTTATCCAGTGGTCTGACTCTGCTTTTGGTTCTGAGTTAACTCTCTTTGGCTCTCCACACCGGGAGCTAAGTCTGTGATCATGAATGAGATAGGATTCAAATCTTTCCAGCCCTCTGGTGGTGATGGTGTGGTGCCGTGGAGGAGTTGGTTCTGATCCTTAGTGATCCTACGCAGGATTTCTGAAGCTGTAAACCTTTACGGGAGCAGAAAGCCTCATCTTTCTGCCGTGGAGCGGCTGATAAGTTTCAAACTGCTTACCTTGCAGTTAGTAGATAGACTTGTAACCCTCTACACTGCTAGAGCTCCTTTGCAAGTCCTTTACAGGGGTACAAAATAAATGATTCCAGGCTTTTTGGTTTTTGTGAAACTTGTGGATGCTGCTCATGGATAGTATTTGCTTGAGCAAGTGATAGAAATCCTAGGGAAACACTGGGTTCAAAGAAGCAAATGGTTTTTCCCCACCCACCAAAAAAACTACCCCCAACAAACAGTAGCAGCAGCAACCAGAAGGCTTTGAGGTTTTCCTGACCATTCATGCATGTTGGGGGGGTTGGGACTAGGACGTGAGAGAGGAAGGGCGTGGAATCTGAAAGCTAGAGCTTCACAATAGAAGCAAAGCTTAGCTTTAGGTTGGGAATCCAGAGTTAGGAAGGTTTGTCTCCCTTCTATAAGACTCTGAGCTACCATTGTCTTTCAGGGTGGGTCAGTTAGAACCTAAGCAAACTGGAGGCCTGGTTGCAACCCTATAGGCCTGACTGATGCTGTCCCTCCCCCTTTATTCCTGCAGTGTGGACCCAGTCAGCAGCCAGACCATGGAGCTCTCGGACATCACTCTCATTGAGGGTGTGGGTAATGAGGTGACGGTGGTGGCAGGTGTGGTGGTACTGATTCTAGCCTTGGTCCTAGCATGGCTCTCTACCTATGTAGCAGACAGCAGTAGCAACCAGCTCCTGGGCACTATTGTGTCAGCAGGAGACACATCTGTCCTCCACCTGAGTCATGTGGACCACCTGATTGCGGGCCAAGGCACTCCAGAGCCAACCGAACTCCCTCATCCATCAGAGGGTAATGATGAGAAGGCTGAAGAGGCTGGCGATGGTGGAGACTCTGTAGGGGAGCCTGGAGCTGGGGGTGGTGTTGAGCCTAGCTTGGAGCATCTGCTGGACATACAAGGCCTTCCCAAAAGACAAGTGGGCCCAGAGAGCAGCAGCCCAGAGGGCTCCCTGAGATCTGAGGAGAACACCTGCATTCCTCACAGCTCAGGCCTCATCAATGTGCGGCTCAAATTCCTCAATGACACTGAGGAGCTGGCTGTGGCCAGGCCAGAGGATACTGTGGGTTCCCTGAAGAGGTGAGTAGACTGGAAAGTGGGAGGCTGTTGTGCCACGTATCCCCCAGCCCTGGGCCACCTCTGATGAAGCTGGAGCAGCAGGGAAGTATCAGGTCCAGCCTCTACCAAGGACGAGTGAATTACTGCCTTAGCCACTCTTCAGTTTTCCCTCACTTCCCTGCTCTGTTGGTCCAGGTTAGTTGGCCTTCTGATTCCTTGCCCTGTCTCCTCTTCTCTTTCATCTCTGTAGTAAATACTTCCCTGGACAAGAAAGCCAGATGAAACTGATCTACCAGGGCCACTTGCTGCAGGACCCAGCCCGCACACTGCGTTCTCTGAACATTACTGACAACTGTGTGATTCACTGCCACCGTTCACCCCCTGGGCCAGCTGTTCCAGGCCCCTCAGCTTCCCTGGCTCCCTCCTCTACCAGTGAGCCACCCAGTCTTGGTGTAAACGTGGGCAGCCTCATGGTGCCTGTGTTTGTGGTGCTGTTGGGGGTCGTCTGGTACTTCCGTATCAATTATCGCCAGTTCTTCACAGCGCCTGCCACTGTCTCCCTGGTGGGAGTCACTGTGTTCTTCAGCTTCCTAGTATTTGGGATGTATGGACGATAAGGACACAAGGAGAAAATGAAAGGCATGGTCTTCCTCTTCCATGGCCTACCCCCTTTCCTGGCCAGAGCTGGGCCCAAGGGTCTGGGGGCGGGGGTTGGAAAGGATAGGGGTGCCCCTCCAGAGGACACAGGAGGCAGGTACGGTGCCTCCTCTTTAGGTCTGCAAGGGTACAGACGTCCCCTCTGTGCAAGCACGTCTCAGGTAGAAATGAGGGTGTTGTCTTCCGTCACTTCTTAGGGTCTTAAAGCAGTTCAGAGCCTGAGGCCCAGCTCAGCAGGGGATTCCTGCCCAGCTGCAGCCCTGGCTCTCCCCAGTGTCCTGCATGTCTGTTCCCCAGCCCCCAGGGCTGCCTGCCAGTGCAGCTCAGCATGGCCCCAGCTCACTTCTCTAGGGGAGTCTGGAGTAAGCTGAAATTCTTTAGTCAAGTATGGATCTTTTGAGACCATGAGGCAGGCCAGAACTAAGTTTGTGCCCTTTGTGCCCGCTTTCCCTAGCTAGAGGCACCTAGCCGCCCCCACCTTTTCCCTCCACCCCTGTAGCAGGCATAGGGTGCCTCCATGTTCTGGACAGTTTCCAGTCGTTCTCCCTCAATTTTTTTTTAAAGCACTTTGCTTGCATTCTTTTTTTTTTAAAATGGTCTTTTATAGAGCCCAGTCAGGAAGGGGATTGAGGCACAAAGCCAAGCCCCCAGCATTGGGAGGCCAGGCCACAGCTGCTGCTACCCTAGGCCTAAGGCTGTAAGCAAGACCGCACTGGCCTGTGGCCAGTGTCCTACCCTGCCCAGCTCCAAGGACGAGCTCTGTTTGGAGCGCTGGGCCCCAGGACCTGGCCTCTGGGGCTCTTGGATTGAGGGTCAGTATCTGTGATTGAATAAAGTTCCATTTTGTGGCTCTGGAGCCTCCTCCTTTGACAGTAAGAAAATGGCTTTACTCTCCCCTCAACAACATGGTAATGAGGGTGGGTAGGCCAGTCTACCAACGGGAGATGCAGTTTATTTACACCAGCAGCCATGGGGGCAGGGGAAATACACAGCGTTTACAAAGTTAGCTACCTGTACAGGATGGATTACATATGCAAAAATAAAAATCTCAAGACCACAGGACAGCGTGAGCCCCACCCCCCTCCCCCAATGACCCCAGCATGCGGTAATGCCAGGCGGGTGGCCCCTGGGCATGCGGGGGGGAGTGATGCATGGAAGGAAAAGCCACCGGCCATGGAAATTAGTACAGAACCCCCCCCACGCACACTCAGACACATGATAGGATACAGGGTGGACGACACCTAGCTGGGGGGTAGGAAGGATGGGAATTGAAACCCACACAGCCTGCTGTTAAGAGGGAGGGGAGTGGGGAGCTCCTAGCCCCTGTTCAACTACATGGTAGGGGGGGGGCACTCTCCCCAAAAGGAAAGGGGGGTTTGTTCCCTCAGGGTCCCTGCTGGACCAAGCCCATCTCTTACCCAGCCTGGGCAGGGGGCTCTGCCCTGAGGGCGGGCCAAGGAACAATGGGGAAGCGGATGTGGACAAACCAGTTCCCAAACTACTTCCCACTTCTCCCTCCTCCAACCAGAAGGGGGAAAGGGAGCAGCCAGAGGGGAAAGGGTACATTAGGGCCTGAGCTGCAGCTGCTTCTTACAAGGAAGATTGGCCCCTTGGCCTTCCTCCCTTCACCTTCAACCCACTCCCAAGACTTTCTTCGGAAGCAGGCTGGAGGCTGGCTGAGATCCTCCTTTCCCTCTGGCTTCCCCTTCGAGAAGACTATCAGAGGGTCAAGAGCAGCGGAGCCCAAGCCCCAGGATTTATCCTAACTCCTGCCAAAATGTGTTTGGCTTTCTAAAAAATAATCACAATTCTTGGGTTAAAAACCCAATTGTAACCAGTTTGTCAGCCACAATCAGAACCACCCCAGTGGGTAGCTGGGGTTCTGGACAGGCCCTTGCAGCTCTCCGTTGTTCCCTTAACTCTCTAGGGTCCCTAACCCGAATCAGTCCAACCAGTCCTGGGTACAAGCTACCCAAATGTGGGATGGCTCCTCCTGGGAGGCGGGCGGGGGACATGTCCAGCAAACATGGCTCCAGGTCAACTCTACCCTGTCAGTCAGCTCGGCTCCAGCCTAGACGTCTGTCCTGACTCCACTCCTAGAATGGTGATGCCCGCTGGAGGTGGGGACTAGGCAGGTGGGTGCACTGGCATGACACCCCTTCCCTTCCACTAACAAGCCAGACACAGAGAATACCCTCTCTTCCCACCTAAGCAAAGGGGTGGGGGGGTGGGGGTGGGGAACAAGGTCAGGATTTCCTCAGAGCCCCAAACCACAAGTACAGAATAAATAACTTAAAAGCGGCTGAGGAAGGGGAAAGAGGGCAGGCTTTGGAGGCAGGAGCATGGAGAGGAACTGAAGCTGATCATGGTAGAAGAAGGGGTGGCAAGCAGCAGCTGGAAACTTGGGCTGCCCAGTAGGGCAGTAGGGCAGGGTGGGCAGGAGGAACATTGGGGCCACCCCAGGAGGGTGAGGCTGGGCCCCTTCCTGGGGCAGGGAATGAGGTAAGAAAACATTTCAAATAAAGCAGCACCGTTCCCTCTCATCATGGGGCCCCACTCCTCACCAGCCCTGGGGCAGGGAAGAAAGGTAGCTGGGAGTAATTTTGATACACAGCTCCCTCTTCCTACCCTCCCCCTTCCCATTCCTTGAAGCTGCGGAGGGCTGGAGGCCCTTTTCCTGGCACCCAACAACACAAGGACAGCTCCTGCTGCCAAGGAGGCCCATGGGGACTGAGGGGAAAGGGCTACCCCTTTAAGGGGCAGGGCAGGTGGCGGCAGTATGCCAACCTCAGCAGACAGCACACTGTGCCTGCTTACCCCTAGGAATGGGGGCATCTGATAGGGTTCTGCACAGACAGGACACGGCCCAACCCTGCCCCTCAGCTCCAAGCACCGGACCCATTCACATTGCTGAGGGCAGCTGGGGGAGCTCCCTCCAGACTCAGCCTCCCGGATAGCCACAATGCCCCTCGGCAGGGCGTAGTCCAGTTCCTGGGGTGGGGGGCAGGCAGTGCCCTGGCACAGTGCCCGAGCCAGGCCCCTGGCCTGGCTGGACATCCAGTAACTCACAGAATAAATAGGAAAACTGCCTCTCCACCAAACTTATGTCCAAGGCATAATAGGTCCAGGTCTGAGTCCTGCACGCCGAGGGTCCGTACTCCATTGCAGAGGACCCTGCCACCCCCCAGGGGTGCATAATTGGATCCTCTGCCCGCCTGGCCCACCAAGCTTCCCAAGCCCAAACCCCCAGCAGCTGTCCATTTGCCAGGTTCTGCCACCTGAGTGGGGGTCGGGAGAGAGGGCTCTGCTCAGCCAAAGGCTATTCCTTGCACCCAAGTCAGTTGATGTCATCATAAATGCTGGGCGTTGGGGGTGCCGGTGGCTTTGGCTTCTTTTTCTTGTTGGAGCCCAGGCTGGAGGCAGTCCCTACCAGGCTCAGATGGGATTTCTTTTTCTTGGTTTTCCGTGATTCGGAACTGTTGGTACCTGAAAAGGAAGGCACAAGGGATGACTCTCAAAGGGTAAAGGAGAGGGGGCCCACAGCTCTGGTCAGAGGCTCAGCTGGCTCACATACCAAGACCCCATCCCTGATTCTCGCTCGTCTTGGAGGAGCCTGAATCGGAGGGTGAGAGGTCAGAAGAGCCGTCCCACTGAAGCCGGCTGATCAGGGCCTGGCTGTCAGTCATGTCAAAGCTGTCAGTATCCAGTGAGCTCTCCACCTCTGGAAGGACGCTGAAAAGGGGCAAAGAATGGCTTCAGGGATCCTAGTCAGCAAGCCCATCCACCACCTCCAGCCCTTCCTGGAGGCTCACTTACGCTGAGGGCCCAAGGAAATAAATCCGCACAGCTCGCCGCTGTTCATCTGTGTGCTGGGGGCAGCGCAGGGACCTGATGGGGAGAGAATGGTCAGACCATAGCAAGCAGGGGAGCATCTGAGGAGCTCAGGTGCAGCCTTTCTGCTGGGCAGAAGCAGGAGGGACAATCACAACCACAGAAAGGGATAAAGGAAGAGTTCTAGGTCAGGTTTTGGCCTAAGGCCTGTCAGTAAGAGGTAGGGGAGGGAGTCCTGATGCATGCATGCATGCCCAGAGTGAGTGTGCACAGGATCCCCCAGCCCCCTTTCTAGATTCTGTGCTCACCTTGTGCACATCTTCTTGGTGTGTTCAGAAATCACCCCACATTGCTGGAAGAGAAATATAAGCTGAGACGAGGAATAGCAGGGAAACTACTCTAGACAAAATATTCCATTCCCTTCTGCACAAATTCTGGATTGCACCAGCAGTGGTGGCCCTTAGGTGTCCAGAGCAGATGATCCCAGACTACTATTGGCCAGGGAACTACATTGTTCTGACTGCCATGTCACCAGCCTCCTTCAGCCTTGACCAGTGCCTTCGGCTCCAGCCCACTCCAGCTCAAGGGCCACCCTCCTTTCCTTGGTCCCTCACCGTGGTGAGCAGGCTACGCAGCTCCTCCGGCCCCAAGGTCTCATAGCTGATCCCAGTGGAATTGTTATACTGAGGGAGAACCAGAGAATAGCTTAGAGAAGGAACAAAGTGTGGGATGGGGTGAGGTGGGATTGGGTGGGGGAGAATCTGTCCTTCTTTCATCCCTTTCTAAGTGAGAAGGCTTCAGGACAGCCCAGCAATTTTCCAAGTGACTCCTACCATCCCCACCTGTGTAAGGGAGGGAGGTGGACCCAGGAAGACCACAAATACACAAGACCCAAAGGACCCATCTAATGCTTCTGGCTATCAGCAAAGAGTTCTCCTCCCCACTCATCTAAACCCCAGGCACTTCATAACAAGGAGAATGAGGGTGAACCTAAGAGGACCAGGCATTACTCACCTTAAAAGGATCCGAATTGCTAAGTTCCCCTGAAGAAGAAAAAAGAAGGGGAAGGGTGTTTGATGCAGTGGTACAGACAGAGAACCCTGAAAATAACCAGAGAGGAAGTGGGGGTGACAGAACAATCACAGGCCCTCCCTCAATACCCTTGTTCCCACAGGCCCTCAACTCCACCCTCCAACGAGTCCCAGAAGACACAGCATGAATGAAAAACTCTTTTTTCTAGCCCCACTTACCATTTTTGTGTTTTAAAGACTTGGATCTTCGAGGGGAATTGGGGTTCTGGAATGGGAGATACCATAGCTTTGGGGAAAGGGTAACGATAAGGGGGAGCCGAGAACCCAGGGAAGGAAAAAAGATTTGACAAAGAAACATCCTCAAACTCCTACTCTTCTTCCCCAGTAAGACCTGTCCTACTACCCATATTCCCACCCCCACCTCCAGGTCTCTGTTGCCCTCCTACCCACCAGACACCCTCCTCCCAAACCCAAAGAGGCCCCCAATGACCTCAGAAGTGAATCAAGACACCCTTGAGAGGACTTCCTGCCCAAAGGGGAGGGTATCTGTCCGTGGCCCAAATTTCCCTCATGCTTGCCCCGGCTCTCACCTTGTCTGATTTTCTCTTCTTGGCTAGGTGGAACAATAGGATAGAGAACAAGGTTACTTCAAGTTTCCAATCTCTGGCTTTATAAACAATAGTACAAACCTTACGGCCCCCCAACCCCAATATTCACAACTTATGCCCTATCTCAGCTTTCCCACCTCAGCCTCAAAGCCCACCACAATCTCCCAGGTCCCCAAACACCTTTCTTCTCCGAGCCATAGGACCAGTCATTGTCATTGATGTCATCATTATCCTCTTGGTCACTCTCAGACTTGTTCATATTGTTGCTATTGGCAATCCTGTCAAGGGTAGGGAAGGGAAAGGGGTCAAGGCCACTGCCCCTCTGCCCTCACTTTGCCCCTGGGGACCACATCATGGTGCAGGCCACGCAAGAGGAACAGCTCTGGTTCGAGGAAGGCAAGGGGCCCTCACCGGCGGTTGGCAATGCGGCTGCTGTTCCGACCCATTCCCAGGCACTTCTCCAGATGGGGGGCAAAGCGGGAGGCGGCAATGCTGCGGCTACAATTGGGGCAAACGCACTCCTTGCTTTTCCACTGGTTGAAAACCTGTCCAAAGATGTCCAACCCCGGCTGGTCCACGATCTCTGGGGACAGGAGAGGCGTGGCGATCAGGGCAGGCAGAGTACTCTCCCTTGTTGTCCCCACCCATGCCCCATGGCCTCTTCGAATGTCCTGCCTAAGCTCCAGGTTCTACATTGAGTGCAGTAAGCATCCAGAGAAGGATCCCAGGGCACGGCACGACTGCTCTCCTCAGACTCGGAAGCTCACCAAAATCCTTCATGCTCTCAGGGTCCGTGTCGTCCAGAAAGAAGTAGCCACACTTGACAGCCCGGTGTACCTCAAAGCAGAATCCCAAACAAGAATCCTCCACCAGGTCCGCGTATATCTCCTGAGCGATGGCCTGGGCCCAGGAGAGAATAGCCACGGTCATGAGAGGCACAGCCCCGTGGACTGACTGAGACTCTCACAAACTCCTGCCACCTCACCCAGGCCACAAATAATGCTTTCTTTGCCATTTTCCCCATCTTGACTTTGTGTTCTTTCTTCTTCCCGGATCCTTGGGCCTTTTCGGCTGGCTATTCCCTTTAAGAAACAAAGCTGACTACCCAAATTCCTCTTTGGTGTGGATGCCAGATACAGCGACGTAGTGACATCAAGATAAAGAACTAGAGGCACATGTGGGGGAGCCCTCACCTCTAGTTTGCTGTTATCCAGGCCAGACAAAGACATTTCCTCCATTTTCATTTGTAAACTCTTGTGGAGACGGCTCTCTGACTGCTCATAGCACAGCGGGCGGCAACACGGCTGTATACATGGGGGTGGGGGTGTTGGTATGAGTCCAAGGTACCTCTGAAGATTGCCACCTCCCCTCCCACCTCGATGCCCAGAGTTTAACCCTGGCACCAGGATTCCCCCTTCCCCAGGGCCTAGGTTCGCTCATTCTAAATGGTCCTCCAGGGCTTGGAAACCCAAAGCAGCCTTATCCTTCCCAGGCCTGAGCTCAGACTCTGGGCCTCTATCTCCTGCCAATCAGATCTGGCTCTATAGGAGGCAGCAGCTCACCCCAGGTCCCCCAAACTCAAACCCCTCTTTGATACCCATGGTGCAATGCAGCAGGGGGAGGAGAAGGAACTCTAAGGCCTTAAAGCAAACCCACAGGGTGTGGCAAAAAAACTGCACAGACTCCTAAATACACCCCCCCTTCCCTAAAGGCTCTCCTCAGAGTCACCTCTGCTTTCAGCCAGGATGTCCACTTGGGGGGGTACTGCTACCAGAAGTAGGCATGGCTCTAGGTCCCTACAACCTTCACCCCACTCTGCCTTCCCTTAAAATAAGCATGCTACTACAAGAAGGGCTCAGAGCCCACGGAGATCTTATGCTGCTAAGGGGTATTTCCAGTCACTGAGAGCAAGAGGAGGGTAGTCGCGTGGAATGGCATGCCAGGAGTGGGCCCTGCCCTTACCTGTGCTTCTTTTGGATAACCACCCTCCCTCCCTCAGGACCTGCCCGGAAGTCTCTCTAAGAGCCTCAAAGTCCAGGAACCCCCACCAAAGGATTCAGAAACAGCGCCCTGAGTCCGGGGGCCCCTCTCAGCATAGGGTATGAGTTTGAGAAGCTGCTGGCCTAGAGTGGGGTGGGGAGTGACAAACGAGCCAGGGGTACTGGGGAGGGTAAGAGGCCGGGCCTCGGCTCTTTCCCCGTCCCTGCGGCACTGCTGCTGCATCATACCGACTGGGGGGAGGAGAGCTGAGCCACCGGAGGCCAGCGCTGGTCCGGGACAGCCCGACCCCCAGAGAGTGGGACAAGTCCCGGCCCCTCTACCCGGGCGCCGACAGCCCGGGCCAGCCCAGGAGAGGAGTCCGGGAGGGTGTCTCTATTGTCCGGGGGGCTGGGGCCTGGCTCCCTAACAAAGGCCCCGCGCCCCCTCCCCGACCGGCCCTGCCCCGCCCAAGGGGGGACCTAGACGGGGAAAGCAGGGGGCCCCGGCCCGGCCGGGAAGCCGGGCGTTTCCGCGTCGGCCCTGGGGGAGGGGAAGGGGCGCTGACCCAGACCTGGGGGGGAGGGGGCCCAAGCCCCGCCTCGGGCCCCGCCCCCTGCAGGCCCCTCCCCCGTTCCCGTCCCGTACTCACCCCGCCCGGGGGGCCGCGCCGGGGCCCGGCGGCCTCTTAGGGCCGCGTCCTCCGGCGGCGGCGGCGGCGGCGGCTGCTCCGGAGCCCCATGTCCGTCGGTCCGTCCTCGCCACTCCCCGGGGCCCAGGGCCCGGGGCCGGGGGGTCGGGCCGCCCCCCCGCCTCGCCGCCTCACCGGGCGGCCATGGCCCCTTCCCCTCCCTTCTCGTCCCGTCGCCGCCTCCTCCTCCTCACCTCACCCCGCCCGCGCGCAGTCCGCGCGCCGTCCGCGCGCCCCTCCCCCCGCCCCCCACTCCAGACCGCCTCTCCCGGGCGGGGGGTGCGGCGCGAGCCCGTAGCGCGCGCGCGTGCGGCGACCGGAGGATGGATGGATGGAGCAAGCGAGAGCGCGAGCGTGCGCGCGCGCGCCCCTCTCCCCCTCCCTCCGCGCGGGCGCGAGGCCAAGCGCGAGCGCGCTCCAACCTCCTCCTCTTCCTCCTCCTGCCCCTCCTCAACACCCCGCCCCCGCCCTCCCTTCCTCTTCCTTCTTTCGCTTTCGCGCGCCCAGCGACTGCTCGCGCCTGCTAGAAGGGCCCGAGCGCGTGCATCTGCCCCGCGGCCGCAGCTCGGCAGCATTTGCTCCAGGGGGCGGGGGCCGGGCCGGGAGGAGGGGCGCCACGCCGCCGTCCAAAGTACCGGCGGACGGGTATGGGCGGGGAGAGAGGCGGGGCCTCCCCGGGGCACTCTGGCCAATCGCCGTTTCCCCTTGGCTTGGGTACCCCAATAGGATGGCGGTGGGTGGAGCGGCGTTCAAGGTGAGCTGCGCGGTGCGCTGGAGGCGGAGACGTTGTGCCGTCCCGGCCGGCTCGGGGGCGGGGGCAGCGGGTGGCGTCGAAAGAGAGCGCCGGCTCCCAGCCGAGCCTGGGACGCCTTCCGGCCCACGCTACCCCGCCTTTTACCTAGGGCTCCCGGTTCTTTTCCCTCACCCGGCTTTTACCCTGAGGCATGCAGCCAGTTCTGTAAACGTGCTGGAGTTAAAGTGGGGTGCAGTTAGGGCCTCAGAGCAGAAAATCCATGGGGCCGAAGGGGTTATTCGAGACTCCGCTCTCCCTGTTTCTGGGCGGGTCTCAGCCATCCCAGGCCTGAGAATTTACAAGCGCCGGAGATCGGGGTCCTTCGCGGTAGGCGAGGGCCAAACTCAGCCCTTCAGAGCGGAGCACCCTCCCCACCCTCATCCTAATTTAGATCCCACACCTGCTCGCTTTTGCTGCTTCCGGAACCCACGCTGCACCCCCACTTCTCAGCCTGCCTGGCATTGGCTAGACCCATCCTCCCACCCAGCGCTACGCCCCTGGGTGTGCCTGTGTCCTCTGCCTTCGCGCCTCGGTCCCCCTTTACCTCCTGGAGGAAAGGGTGCTTCCCAGCATTCATAAATATTCAAACTGATGCTTCCATCTTAATTACTCTGTGCCTGGAGCCAGGGTTTGCCTGTCCTCCAGTATAGAGAAAGATTAAGGGAAGAAAGTCTTAAATCACATAGTTTGGGCGCATCAGTGACTCTTTAGTTTGAAACAGACAGGTATTTTGAGACGAGGAATCTGATGTGAATTGAAATCTGCTTTTGTTAATGTAGACTTGAGCAATTTTCTGTGCCTCACTTTATAAATGAGTATGATAATAGTACCTCATTAGATAGTTGGAAGGATTAAAGTACATGTGAAACTCGTGGTTCAGTGTAAGTGTTCAGTAACTTTATTATACTTCGGTTACTGGGATACAAAGATGAAATGAGACAGTTGTATTTTCTCAAGAAGTTCAGTCATGTGAGGTAGAAAAACTGATAAAATTAATTGCATAACTGATTAAAAACAAAAGATCTGCATAGGGTACAGGAGTGGCCAGAGAGACGGCTAGATGATTGAGCTAGAACCAGGGTAAGGCAGGCCACAAAAGCTGTGTTGTCCATTTGATTCCAGCTCACTCTTTTAATGCTGTCCATCTGTAGAAGGTTTCTGAGGAGTGGCTGGTGGGTTTGAACTGCTGACCTTGCAGTTCAAACTCATCTTGTGCTTGTGGTCCAGTGCATGTCCTACAGTGCCACACTAGAACTCCAACTTGGCCAATTCGTACTTGGCCCTATATGACAGAATGGAACTCCCCCTAGGTTTTCTTGGCTGGCATTTTTACGGGAGAAAATTGTCAGGATTTTCCTTTGGAGCAGCTGGTGTGTTCAAACCACTGATCTTTCAGTTAGCAGCCTAATTTTTTCAGCATTGTGTCATGAATGATCCTTAAGAACATTCTGAAACTGAGCCAAACCGGTTGTATTCTAAACAATACCTTCTAATCTTAGTGATCCTATAGGATAGAGTAGAACTGCACCATAGGGCTTCCAAAGTTGCAGATCTTTAGAGAAGCAGAAAAAGCCACATCTTTTCCCTTTTGGAATGACTGTTTGAACTGCTGACCTTTTGGCTAGTAGCTGAGTGCTTAACCACTGTGCTACCAGGGTCCCTAAGAAGACACTAAAACAGAAAAACCCATGGTCATAGAGTTATTTTGACTTACAGTGACCCTATATTGGGTTTCTGAGGCTATACATATTTATAGAAGCAGACAACCTCATCTTTAAGCCTGGGAGCAACTGGTGGGTTCAAGCTGTGACCTTATGGTTAGCAGTCTAATGCTTCTGGTGTCAATAGGGCTTCTTAACAAGACACGTATGTTTTTATGTGCCATCGAGTCAGTTCCAATTCATAGCAACCCTGTATGTTTCCAAGGAGTGGTTGATGGGTTTGAACTGCCTACCTTGTGGTTAGCAGTCCACTGCTTATTCTACAGTGCCACACTAGGCCTTCTAAGAAGACACTTTGTTGTTGTTGTTAAGTGCTGTTGAGCTGATTCCAACTCAGCGACCCTGTGTAGGATATCTGAGGAGTGGCTGACGGGTTTGAACTGCCCATCCTATGGTTTCAGTCCAGTGCTTATCCTACAGTGCCACACCAGGAGTCCAAAGAAGATACTAAGCATCCTGAAGAGCAAGTTTCAAAAGTATGGCTCGGGCTAGGGACTGTTTGGAACATTGGATTGGGTGAGGGAGCAGTTGGAAGTGAGCAGACCAGATCACAGAAGACTTGGGATGTGCTGAGGAGTTTGTAGACTTTAGCCTCTTGGGCATTTGACCAGATTTGCGTTTTCGTTGATCACTCTGTGGTTATGCAAAGGCACCCTGGTGATGCAGTGGGCTAAGCTTTGGGGCCACTACCCAAAAGGTCAGCAGTTTGAACCTCACAGCCTCTCTGCAAAAGACTAGGCAGTCTGCTTCCATACAGAGTTACAGCCTTGAAAATGATGGTGTTCTACTCTGTCCTATAGGGTTGGAATTGATTCCATGATTATGGGTGGGTGGTTTTGAAAAATAGCTTAGAAGCAGTAGGTTTCTGTAACTGATTGTGGTGTGTAGGGTAAAGAACAAGGAGGCCCTAAAAATTCTTTTAACCAGGATAGGGCATTTCAAGGAGGATATACAAAGATACAAATTTGGAATATGTTGGGATTACTGTGGGACCAGCTAGTGGAATCTTCTCAGGAGGCCTGGAACCTCCACAGCATGATCTCAGCTTTCCTTTCTTTCTTAAAACTTCCTATTGTGAATCGAGTGAAGGTTTATAGAACAGATCATCAGCTTTACAGTCAATAAATCGTATACTTCACTTCATTGCAATGATTGCAGTGCCTTCTATGTACCATCAGTATTTACTTCTGTTCACTTTAATTCTTGCATTCTTTCCTGTTTTCCTCTTCAAAACTTCCTCTTGTATGTTGCCAGCTTTCCCTTTTATCTGTATCTCCCATCCTCCCTTTTAGGAATTTTCGACTCCAGTGATGTTACTCTGTTTTTCAATCCCTAAATATGCCCACTTATATGTGTGATATTAATAATAGTGCTCAGTAATTTCCACATTCTGTTGGGTCACCTTTCTTTGGAATTGACACAAACCTCATCTCTTCCAGTTGGTTGGCCAGGTATCTGTCTTCCACATTTCTTGCCATACATGAGTGAGCACATACTGTGCCTATGTATGTTTGTTGAAACGTCTCACATACTTTGGGCATGTTATCAGGAGGGACCAGGCTCTGGAGGATACATCATGCTCGGTAAAGTAGGGGGTCAGTGAAAAAAATGAAGACCCTCAAGTAGATGAATTCACCCAGTGGTTGCAACAATGGACTTAAACATGGAAAGGGTGGTGAGGAAGGATGGCACAGGACCAGACAGTGTTTTGTTCTGTTGTCCATAGGGTCGATATAAGTTGCAGCTGACTAGACAGAAATTAGCTCTGGTAGCACAGTGGTTATGAATCGGGCTGCAAACCACAAGGTCAGCAGTTTGAAACTACCAGCTGTTCTGTGGGAGAAAGATGAGGCTTTTTGCTCCCGTAAAGATTTACAGCCTCAGAAACCCCCTGTACAGGGTCTCTCTGAGTCGGAACCGACTCCACAGTACATAACTAACCAACCAGACAGCAATTAACAGCAACGAGGTATGACCATGTCCTGCCCTAAAGAATTTTACCTGCTCAGGAAACCTCCCTGGCTTTTCCCTGTTTACTTAAATCTTTCTCACATTTCTGCTTGTGGCCATCTTCACACCAAACTCCTCTCTAAGGACGTATTATTCATTCTGCTTTTGGCCTGGACAACTATGGTGGTGACCTTTGGGGATACACACTTCACCGTTAGCACTAGGAACTGAGTCGTGTTCCTAGCCGTGGGTGAGGCCTTGGGATTATAGCCAAGGGGAACACACAGACCTCATCCTAGTAGAGTTTACAGCTCAGCAAAGCCCGACATGGATCAAACAAGTCTGAGTGTGAAAGCATTTGGCTGCTAAGGAAACAAATGACACAGGAGAACTTTTTAGCCAGGAGTCAAGGACAGCTCCCCTGAAGAAGTGTAGCCCTGAATTAACTCAGCAGGGAGGTCATGATGAACATTCCAGGCAAAGGAAACAGCATGTATGCAGGCTCTAAGACACTATGTTGAGCTTGAGGCATGGAAGGCTGGTGTGACTAGAGTTGGGTAAGAGAGACCAGTAGGGGCAGCAGATCCTCCAGGGCCTTGTAGACTATAACTTATTAAGTCCATTAACAAATATTCCTTGGGTAAGTATTGTATGCCAATTTTAGGTGCTAGAATTATTGTAATGAATAAGCTGATAAGGGAGATAACCAATGAACAAGTACACAAATACAGAAGAATAGAGATGTTGTAAGGGGAGCCCTCAAGAGAAAGATGTCAGGGAGGGTCTATCTGTACTGGTGACATTTGAGCTGAGGAAGAGAAAACCAGTTATGTGAAGAGTCAGAGAAATAGTATTGTGGGCAGGGAACAGCAAATGCAAAGGTCCTGTGGTACGCATATCTGGACAACAGAAAAAGTGATTATTTAGTTGGATCGATGTGAGAGATGGGGAATTGTGGAGTGAGACAATGGGAGAAAGGAGCAGGGATTTAGCCTTGTAGGGTCACAGTAAAACTTTCCAACTTTGATTCTCAGTATAATGGGGATAGTTTTGAAGAACTGCAATAATCGAAGTTGTTTGTAAACAAACTACGTTGGCTGCCATGTACAGAATGAATCGTAGGGGGTGAGAGTGCAAGCAGGGAGAGCAGTTTTAAGAGATCTTTGAAGTAGTTGAACAATGATGGTGACTGAGTAGGGTGGGGATGGTAGCAGTACAGCAGAATGTGGAGATCTGAGACTTTAGGATGTAGGCTAGATAAGTATAGGGAACAATTCGATATGGAGGCCAGAGAAGGAGAGGAATCGGATGATACCTGGGTTTTAGATTGAATGACTACATGGCTCGTAATCCAGTTGGGTTTTGGGGTATGAGGTATCTGCAAGATATCCCAGAGGGTACACATCTGGAACTTAGAATGTTATTGCTGTTAAGTGCCATCAACTCGGTTCCGAAACATAGCAACCTTGCATAGGGTTTATGAGGAGTGGCTAGTGAATTTGAACCACCGACCTTGACATTGAGTGCTTATCTTACAGCACAGCCTCTATAGATTCCCCCTTTGGAGTGTAAGTGTGGGTGATAATCAGAGGTTCTGGGAGATACACGGACACCTAGGATAGAATAATAAGCCAACATTAGCAGAGGAGACCAAGAAGGCAAGAGACAGACAAGTGTCCACCTGGATGTAATGAACATATGAGGTTAAAAGCTTCAGGTGAGTGGCACGTAAGGAAACAGGAGACCCTGAGGACCAAGGAGCTCTTCACAGAATTGACCAAGGATAGGAGAAGGTTGTGGGGTTGAGGATGAGCTCTTGAACAAGGCCTAGGTTTTTAAGCTCTTGTTGGTCCCAGCAAAACCCTTAACAGAGCAAGTCAGCCCTGCCCATTAGAGGCCAGGATAGTTAGGAGTCATCCTCTAACCTAGGCTTGGTTCAAGGTGGGATGGATATCCTGTCCCCCACGATAAATTCTACATCCCCAATTGCCCAAGGCAGTGCATTCTGGGGAAAAGAATGTATTTGTACTCCAACTTTTCAAAAAGCATACTATTGTTAAGTGCCATTGAGTTAGTTCCAAGGAGCAGCTGTTGAGTTTGAAGCACCAAACTCCAGTTAGCAGTTCAGTGCTTATCCTATAGTGCCATACCAGGACTCAGGTAATCCAAGGTGAACACATGGGAACTGAAAAAAGTTTTTAACAATAGCACCTAGTTGCCGGACTGTAGGTTGCTTATGGTGTCTTCAGGAATTAACCCAAAGGAAAGGATGGTAGTAAAGACATAACCCTCTCCACATCCAACCTGCTGCTCACACCTGCCCCCACCTTCATTCATCCCAGTGATCAGACAGCAGCCAAACCTTTGTTTTTAACTTTATTGTACAAAAAAAGGGAAAACAAAACTTCCACAGTTGGCCTTAAGCTTAGGCAGACATCTCTAAGCCACTCCCTCCCACCTCCCAAGATACAAATTCAAGTTGTGATTGTTGTTGAAACCTACAAAACACTTCTTTAAATATTAGAAAAAAGTGGGAGGGAGGGATCCTCCCACCGCAGCCATCCAATCCCAGTGCCAAAATGCACTCAAGAGTGACGTCTTACAGCACCAACATCCCCACCACAACAGCCCTGTTTGTACTGTAAGAATTTTTCAATTTTTAAAACTGGAAAAAAAAAAAAAAGTGCCCTGTTCAGAGTTGTTTTTAAATGAAAACACATTCCACTAAAGCACATCAGAGCAGGAACAGTCAATCAGGGAAGCTGGGTTCCTTTCAGAGGCTCCCAGGAAGAGATACAACTTCCACACCCCTGGAAACTACTCCAGGATTAGGAGTGGTCCTCCCTGGCTGCCCCACAGCACCACATTGAGGTGAAGGAGAGATTGTCTCTCAGCCACTGTGGGGCTGGGGACCCTCACCTTCCTCACCTCATGCCGCCCCGGAGTTCCTACTTTCCCTCCAGCCCTTGGCTTTCACTTAGGAGTGTGTGTGTATGGAAAAGACCTAAAAGCCCCAATTAAATAGGTAATTTACATGATTGTTTAAAAATTTTTGTTCATAAAAGCAAAACAAAACAAAACAAAAATGAAATCCAGAGACATGGTGTGGCTTGGCTTATTAAAATCCAAGGGTACTAAAAACTTTGGGATGGCTGGATGAAGGAGGGGCAGCTGCAGAAGCCATTTTTGCAGCCCTTTTCCCTTCCCCAGCTGTGGGTTGGAGGGAAGTGGCAGACCTGAGAAATCAAAGGGAATGGGTGGGGGTGGCATGAGGAAATGGGGAAGAACAGAGGGATGTGTAAGTTAAGAGCTTCCAACACATTCTTGAAGCCCAGATTCTGAGGCTAGGGTAACCAGATTGACCCCTCAGACAGGCTAGGGAGGCCTCTTCCACCAGAAGAACTGCTTTAAGGCTCGTGCCGTCTGTACTCCTCCTTGCTGCCAGAGACCAGCAGCCGCTCTGATTCCTAGGACTCGGGCAGAGGGAAAACCAGTAGGAAGCATCAGAGAGTGGCTTGAGTACATCCCCAAATCGAAACAGAGACTAGGCAAAGCAGAAGACGTGGAGAAAGGGGCAGCCCAGCCTGTTTGCACCAGGATCAATGTCTCCCTGGCCCTCAACATCACCAACCCTTTTTCCAGATTCACCAACAAAGACTGAGGTGGACTCCAGGACAGACCCCTTCTCTCTCTCCTCTCTCTCACACGCACGCACGCACGCACGCACACATCCACAGGTGCACCCATGCTATGTACAGCCCACACATACATACACACTCTTCCACACGCATCAAGACCGTTTTAAAAAAGTCCCACACCTACCCTCTAAACCCTCCCTCTCCCAGAAATGACAACAGAGACGGCAGCCAACATCGGTAGGAAACGTCTCGTTGACAGCTCAGAGCTTAAAAAAAAAATATATACACATATATAAAAAACACTTCTGCCCCTTCCCCCAATGAGTTGGGTCAGGCAGCTCCTTCTGCAGGGGGCAGGGAGAGGGAGAGATGGGCGCAATGCCTGTTGTCTGGAAGGCATGTGCCCTCCTCTCCCCATAGGTTCCCTGCATCCAGTTCCAATGTGGCGGGGGTGGGGGTAGGGGGCTCTGGGCGGCCCCACCTTGGGTTGGGCTGCAGGTGTGGAGGGCCTCACTGAACTCTTTGGGACCCCCCCCTCAACTCCCACCCCCAGGTCCATTGTCCATGCGAGAACCACAAGTGCAGTGGGCTCTGCAGCAGGGTGGGTGACCATCCAGGGCTGGCTCAGTCTGATGTTGCTCTCCCTGGAGGCCCCAGGGCTGATGTCTCTGAGGCTGCAGAGTCCTGGCCTGAGAGCCGACAGCCCCCATCTCCCCACCATATTTTGTTTTTGTTTTTAAAAAAAAAAGAAAAGAAAAGAAAAAGTGGGAGAGGTTGGGAACAGGGAGCAGAACATGGGGGAGAAACAAAGGTGGTCAGTTGGGGAGGGGAGCCCCTGGGCTCTCACGAGAGGCTCCTACTCTCCCTGGTGGCCCTGGGACAGGGCCCACTCTCAGTTGGAATCAGAGTCCGAGGAGTCCCCAGAGGACGAGGAGCTGGAGCTGCTGCCCTCAGAGTCATTGTCCTCATCCTCATCGTCCTCCTCGTCATCGTCTTCATCCTCATCGTCTTCCTCATTCTGGGGGGGGGGAGGGAAATCATGTGGTCACACGGTCACAGGGAGCCCCCCTGTAGGCAGGGCCACAGCCCCAGTCCAGTCCTGCCTCCACCATACCGCCTGCCCTACCTCATCCCCATCCTCGCTTTCATCCTCACTGCTCGACTCAGAGGAGTCCCCGCCATCATCGGAGGAGTCCCCGTTCTCATCATCCTCCTCTTCTTCATCCTCATCGTCGTCATCGTCATCATCATCGTCATCCTCTTCAGACTCCTAGGAGGGATGGAGGCTCATCAGAGGTGCCAGTCTAGGCCTTGTGGACCCCTCAGCCCTGGCATAGGTGGGCAGGGCAGGGTCCTTACCGACTTGGATTGCAGGGTAGTCCGGCTGGACTTTGGGTTTGGGCCTCGTAGCTTGGTCATGCTCTTACGTTTCTGTAGGGAGAACAGCAGGGGGCAGCCATGAGCGACAGTCTGAATTGCAGGCCCAACATCCTATTGCCACCCTGCCCAAGACTCACACTGGAGATATATTCTTTGTAGGCTGCGCGGTCCTGAGGAGACAGGCTCTGGAGAAACACAGGAGGGGGTGAGGGTCAAAACACAACCCAGATTTGCACAGGTTTACCAAGTGCCGGGCCATCACCACAGAATGCTAACAACTGCTCTATATAGCTGTCATTCCCATTTTATACAAGTTTAGAAACCTCAGGTGACTTGTCTACATCACAGAGCTAAGAAGTGGAGGTACTGTAGATTCGGCCCAGGCCTACCTGGCTCCAGAACTCTGGTTCAGAACCACTGTTTCACTTAGTGAAGACTCCCACCCTATCTATCCTTGATTCCCATCCCCATCTTGACTGAGGTCACCGTCACACCTTGGGTCTTTGCAGAGAGCCCTTGGGACCTGAGAATGTAGTTCCAGTGTTACTTTTCTGTTGATAATATTCCGAATTCCCTCGTGGCTCTACTCAGATGTAGCTGCAGAGATCCCTCCACCCCTGGACACTCCTCTAGCCTGGTGTCACCCCTCACTCAAAGCCACTGAATTCTTGAGCCACTGAGGGAAGCAGTCTGGGGCTCACCAACTTTCCAAAACACCCAATCCCTGCCATCTCGCTGGGTGTAAGGCTGGCCTGGTCATAAATGACTCTCTCCACTTCACAGGTCAGGGCACACAGGGGACATTCAGAGGCTGGGGTCAAGCCAGAGTCTATGATAAATCTCATAGACTGGTCCCAGCTGGAGGGAAGAAAAGCCCACCTGATTTTGAGTTCTCTTTATTTACTAGTTATGCAGTCTTGGACAAGTTATTTAACCTGTCTGAGCCATAACTGCCTTATCTTTATAAAGAATGATGCTAACCCTTTGGGGCATGGAATGAAATAACGAATACAGACCAACCAGCTTGATGCTTCTTTCCTCCTCCTTTCACGAGGCCCCTGTCCTCTTACCTTGACCCAGAGATCCAGGTGAACCTTGTACTGCTTCTGCTGTTCCTCAGCCAGCTTCTTGTAGTGCTCCTTTTGGCTTTGGGAGATGCGCTGCCAGCGGCTACCGATCTCCACCATGCGTTCCTTCAGTGGCAGGTGATTCAGCTCCCCATTGGACAGCAGTTCCTGGGAGAACTTCTGGTAACCGTTCCTGGGATGTGGGGATGGTGTAGGAGAGTTAAGATCCCAACAAAGCCACCTCTAGCCTTGCACCTTCCCACTAACCTCTAGCTCTAGGACACATCTCAGCCCTCAAGACTCACATGGGAGGTTTCTTTGGTTCTCCCTGGAACTTCATCTTCTTGGATGAGTTTGCAGCAGCCGGAGGAGCCCGCATCTCACTCAGCTCTCTCTGCGGGGGATAACCCGGAAAAGTCAATGCTAATCTTCCACCCTGAAAACACTCCTGCTTCCTTCCCGATGCCATCAGTGCTGGGAAGAAGAAACTTAGGCAGCCAGAAAGCAATTCCTAATAACTCCCACATGTGTCCTACACTGCAGTTTAAAGCTTCCTAGTTTGCTCTGTCCCTGAAACAATTACCCCAGAGGCAAGGATCATGTACTCATCACATAGATGAGAGACAAAAGGCTGACGATTCCCAGAAGGAAATTAGGTGACTTGCTCAGTCACAGAACCAAAATTGGAACTTCTGGCATCAAGTTCCACAGTCAGAGGGCTGGCCCCAAAAGTGAGCGCCAGAATTTGAAGTAGGGGGTGGTCCAGCCCCATGCCACCCCACTACAGTAGCCAGCAGACCTCCTCCCACCTCGTATCTCTTTTGGTCTTCGGCTGCTTTCTTAATCCACATGAGTTTCTCCTTCTTCTCCATACTGTTCCAGGTCATCTCCATGGCCTTCAAGGCCTTCACTCGGTCATTCTGGGGACAGACAGGGGTGTCAGCTGTGAGTGGGGTCACTTGGGGTCAGAGTGGGCAGGCTGCAGGAAAACAAGCCCTCTTTCACTCCCTGCTACCTTGAAACGGGCCAGGTAGTCGCCAATAACACTCTGCTGCCAGATCTCCTCTGCCCTCTTGGGCGACTCGGGCAGCTTGCCCCTTTCCTCTCGCTCCCCGCCTGGCTTCCTCTCTGACTGGGCCTTCAAGGCCGCCTCACGAGCCTTGTACTTGGCCTGTGGAGGGATGGCATGGGGTGTCAGCCTCTTAGTCACCTCCAGGGGGCGTGCGTTCCACACCCAGCAAGGGAAGACTCTCTGGACCAAAAGGGGTGAGGCAAGCAGAGGCCTGGATTCAAGCAGATGTCTCCTCCTGCATGTGGCAAAGCACCCACCAAATGTCCCTGCTCCCCAGGAAGCCGCCAACCTCAGCAGACAGCTCCAAGTTCTGCCATCTGAGGTGTGGCACACAGGGGCCAGGGGCGAGGAACTGAAACTAGCAGTTTCACGGGGGAAGAAGTAACTTTTGCCCCTGTAGCATTGCTGGGACAAGCCTGACCTTCTTCTTCTCCGACAGGTCATTCCACATGCGGGCCAGCAAACGGGTCAGCTCACTCTCAGAGAGCTCAGGCCGTTCTTCCTGCAGCTGCCTCCGCTTTTCCTCCGAAAAGATGAACATGGCTGACACGGGCCGCTTGGGCTTCTCTGAGCCGCCCTGTTGATAGGCAGAAAGGTAGTGTCCCCAGGGTGTAACGGGGAGCCCTGCCCTTCCCGCCCCTCCTGTCCATTTGTGCCCCCTGCCCACCTTGCCCCCTTCCTGGGAGGGCTTCTTGGAAGCCGGGCTGGTGGCTTGTTTCTTGTTGATGTTCAACATCTTCTCCTCTCCCAGGACTCGCTGCTGCTCCTCTTCTGGCAGGCTCTGGTCAGGGGAGAAGAGGCTGCATGCCTGGCCCCCAGGCCCCAGCATTCCTCCAGGACACTTCAGGTGGTCCTAGAGGCTTTGCCCACTGCTTCCCAGTCATCTCTCCCCACTGCCCAACCTGGAGGAACACTTACCTCTAGAAAACGGAGCAGCTCCACCTCGTAGTCTTTCTTTTTCTGGGGAAGCAATGGGAGTCAGGGTCAGTCTGGGGACAGTAACCCTCAGAGAGCCAGCCTCCTGAGCATAGTGGTGGCCTGGCCTCCCCTCCATAGATGGCAAGCACGGGGGCTGAGATCATCTGCCTTGACCAGTTCAGAAATTTAAAACTAGCACAGCATCAGGTTCAGAACAGGTGCCAAAAGCACATGTGACCCATGCATGATGCAGTGGAGATCAGAACTCCTACTTCAAACCTCTAAGGCAAAGCCCAAGGGCTCCGTGGGAGTCCCCACCCCGGCTCACCTGGTCACACTTCTTGTGGTAGGCATCCTTCTCCTTCTGAGAGAGCAGCTTCCACTGCTGGCTGCACAACACCATGCGCTCCGTGCTGGGCACATCTTTCATGTTGGCCATCAACTCTGCACAGTACAGCGAGTAGCTGTTCCTATCAAGGGGAGCAAGGAGAGTCCCTGTGAGCCACCAAGGCCGTCCTGGGCCTCCTCCCTTTCAGAGCCCTGGGCTGAGCTGCCCACTCGCCCACCCACCCACCCCGGGCCACAGCTCACGGAGGTGGCTTGGTGGGTCGCCCATCAAACTTGTCTTTGAGCTGGCGTTCAGCCTTGGTGAGGGTGGACTTGGTGATGCCCTCCTCGCTGATGTTCAGCTCGGGGTGCTTCTGGATGTAGTCACGCATAATCTCCTGCAGAGCGAGGTGGGGGGGTGGAGGGCAACCGGGTGCGGGATTAGCCCGGGCGGGGGATTGGGGAGAGCCGCTGGGGAAGGGAGGCAGGGAGCAAAGCTGGGGAGTGGCCGCGTGTCTGCCACGTCACACGAGACATGGTGCCCTGCCCTGGCCTAGCCTGAGTTCTTATGAGGGGCCGGGAAGGTAGGGATAGAGGTGAGGGGCCCAGAAGGCCCCTCCCTCAGTGAAGGGACAGGTGTGACTGCCTCCCGCAGAGTGCGGTGGCCAGGAGTCAGAGGGTGGAGGCTCGTGAAGAGCCGGATGGGGAGGAGCGCAGCGGAAGCCTAACCTCGTACTCCTTCCGCTGCTCCAGGGCCTTATGAATCCATTTCAGCCTCTTTTTGTCCGAGAGCTGAGACCACTGCTTCCCCAGGGAGTCCTTCACCTCCTTCGTAGTGGCCTGCAAACCAAAAGCCGTCAGACACGCACAGGCAGCCGGGGGCAGGGGAGGGGGGTGGGGGCACAAAGGCCCCGCCCCCTCAGGCCACAGGAGGTCACATCAGTGTCCCCCACAGGCCAGGAGGGGAAGGCGAACAGGCGGGAGTTCCACCTGGGTGCCAGGGGACAGGCTCGCACGCACGCACACACACTTGCACGCCAGCTGGCCCAGGCCCTGTCCATGCAGCCCACCCCTGGGGAGGGGGCTCCTCTCCTGCTCCCCTGCACCATGCCCAGCCGACCTGGCGCGGCTCCCCCCTTGCCACCACCGTGCGCCCTCCACCTCCACCCTTTGGCCGGACACTCACATCTGGCCGCACTTTGAGGTACACCTTCTTCTCATGGGTATACCACAGCTGCTGTGGGGTTTTGGGCTTCTCAGGGATGTCCGACTTCTTGGCATTCTGTATTAGGTCAGGGTGATCCTCCCTAGCCAAGGTATGGGGTATAACGTTCAGTGGGGGCCAGGCTGGGGCAGGCCAAACAGACCTATGCCAGCAGCCACCCACCAAGGCCTACCCTAGGCCTTTCAGCTGGGGTTTAGTGGGACAGAACTGCTTGTCTGTTCCTGCCCAGAGTATGACTACTGGGGTCCACATGTGCCCCGGCCATTCTTTATGCCTCACAGATGGCAAGCTCAAGGCTCTGGCCAAGGTCAGCCTATCCTGCCAAACCCAGTGAGTGCCCTGTGGCCTTCCTCCAAGCTCTACTGCCTTACCTGAATCGGGCCAGGTTTCGCTCGAACTCCTGTTTCTCCCTCTGGAAGTCCTGAATATATTTCATCTAGGGGGAGGATAGGTTCAGGTCATCCAGGGCCCCAGGCCTATCTCACCCTGAGCTACAAAAGCCACCTAACCTTGACTCACTCATCCATTCTTTTGTCTCCTGCTGAGCAATGGAAAGGGATGGAGAATAGCAAGAGTGGGCAGGTGGTGGTGGCCTGCCTCCTGGAGGGAGCTAGAGAACCTCCTAGAACACCGAATGCTATCTCCTATGGTCTCCTTTTCACAAGGCCTGAAGGGGACACATGGCATGTCTGATCACACAGTAAGCAGCAGCAAGCAGGACTGGGCTTTCCCAGCTCTCTCTTTTCCCTCCTCTGCTTGCCTGGGAAAGGCAATACAGGTCATACCCCTTGGAAGCGGCCCTAGGGCCTGACTGACCCTGTTTCCAGTAGGTGGGAAGGTACTGAAAGGAACTGAGTTCTTTCTTGCAACGTGAATCCTATCTTCTGAATTTGGAATCCGCCTACGCCCGCCCCCACTATCCACAGCCTCTGGGTCCATAGCTGCCCATCCTATGTTCCTTCCTGGTTCTGACTTCATCATCCCTTCTTCCTACTTTAGCTGTTCCCCTAGGCTCCTGGCTGTCTGGCTCTACAGAAGCCCACTAGTCTCCTCCATCACTTGGTTTCTCTTTCTCCTCTCCTCTCCTCCCCTCCTGTGACTCTCCTTGCAACTTTCCTTCCACCTTTCTGTATTCCTCCCTCCTTTGTAGCTAGCCTATTGGATCGGTCTCTCTCCCTTCCTCATATCTCTTCTGTCCTGACTATCACTCAATGACCATCTTTACTTCAGTGTCAAAGTCAGCAGCAGCAGCATGAACCACAGGGTTCCTGGTGATCAACCCCTGCCTTTTACAGAAGAGCCACAGAATAGAGGCAGGTCCACTTTCCTCTAGGGTCTCACAGAAAGTCGTAAGCAGAGCCATCTCCTCTCTCCTTGCTGCCCCTAATCTGAGACAAAATTATTTTCTAGAGCTGAAAGATGCCACACACTCTGCTTTACCCTCCACCTCTCAGACAGAGAAGCGAAGTTAACTTACCATAGGGCGTGCACAGCCAAGTGGTGGGAGCCAGGGGCCCAAGTCTGGTGTTCATCCTACCATGTAGCTTCTTCTGTCCTCCCTGATTCTCAGACCCTTTTCCTTTCAGCCTCTCCCTCCCATCCTATCCCAAGAGTGTTTGGGTGTTAAGTGGACAGCCCAGCACTTAAGGGTTCAATAACAGCTCCAGCAATGCACACTCCTGCCTAGCTTGGACAGTGGTTGCAGATGGTTTTTATCAGGCCATGCTAGTTTGCCTTGTTTTGGGTACAACATCAAGGGCATGTGAGCCTGTTGTTGGGATGCACAAACCAGGGTCAGAGCTACTCACAGCAGGGTGGCTTTTGCCACCTGCTGAGAGCTGGCTGTGTATAACTTTGTTGCCTCTTCCAGCAAATGTGCTCTTGGTCTCTTCCACAACCCCTTGGCCAACAGCTCTTCCTGGCTCGGTCTTATCTCTGGTCGCCTTTTTTTCTCTTCCCACCCCACTCTATGCTGTCTTTGAAGTTCCTCCACTGTTTTGCTACCTGACCTCTGTGCTTGTTGAATGTCTCCGCTAGCGAAGCTAGGGCTACCTTTACCCAAGGCTAATGTTCTCCAATAGTCCAGGACAATGCACCACCTCTGTAGGGGACCAGCATGTGTGTTTGGAGAGGAAACATGTCTAGCATGTGTACACAGTGCGGGAGGAGAGTCTAAGTGCTAAGCCCAAGTTAGTAGTTGTGCGACTCAGGGTACTTAACCCACTGCACACCTCAATTCTTGGCCCATAAAATTGGGACCACCTCTTCTCCTGGGGTTAGCTTTAAGAAGCAACTGCAAGCCATCATCTGAGACCATGAAGGGGAAAGTAAGAGGGGGCATCACTGCTGGGCATGCCCATCAGGTGGATGAATGAGTAGGAGAACCACACAGAACACGACATTAAGGTTTGTCTGTGGGATCAAACGTTTGTCTGAGCACCTGCCTCATCTGAGTGGTCTGCAGCGAACTCAGAGCCTTACTGTGGGTACACTTGGGAAGGGGTAATCAGGTGTGGCTGTCCAAGACTCAACTCGACTCTACTGACTTGCCCATGTCCCTGATGCCAGGTCTATCTAAATTCCCCTCCCCATCCAATGCTGACTGCCACCAGCTGCTTCCAGCCTTTCCCCTCCCTTCCCCCACCTTCTTCTTCTCAGGAAGCTCCTTGTATTTCTTGGACAGAATCTTGGTCAGGTCCAGGTTGCTCATCTCCGGGTGGAGTTTTGCATACTTAGCCCGCTTCTCCATGAAAAAGCGGAAATAAGGTGTCAGGGGTTTCTTTGGGAAGTCTGGGTGTTTCTGGCAGGAAACAAGGACATGGGGAAGATCAGACACTGTCACCCTTTGCACCAGCCCTCCCACGGTGTTCCTCCTCCCGGAAACTCACCTTGAGCTTTTTGCCCTTGTAAGGATTTTTAACATGTTCCTGGGCATCAAGGATCAATTCTGTCAATGTGCGGAACTTCCTTACCTAAAGGGAGGTAAGGGAAAGGAAAGTTCCAAAGAGGGAAACACCAATATGTCTGTTTTCCACCATGTGCCCTCTGTCTCCACTAGACTGAATGTGTATCAGAGGCTAAAAGGTATACAACTTGTGTAGCTCCTGAAATGCAGGCAGACACCCGTGGCCCATGCCTACTGCAGAAACCCAGGTAGTAGGGTGCCCATAAAAGAGAATGATAGTGTAACCACCTGGCCATGGAGACAGGTCTTCAATGCCCAAGTGACAGAAACTCCAAGATGGTAAGTATTCAAGGCCACACAGCCACACACACACACAAAAATGGCAGGACTAAGAGACCTAGAGGCCAAAGCTGCCAACTGTGTTACATACTCTCACCCCCAAATGCACAAGGGCAGGTAGAGAACTAACCGGACCACATGAGCTACTCTCTTATCTCCTTCCTTATTCATAGCTTTCTGTTTCATCTCCCCCAGCCGGAAGGCGATATGGTTTTAAGGAGAGGGATCAATTAGTTACCTCATTTGAAATTTCCACCCATTTGAGCTTGCACATGTCTCCAGAAAAGTCTTTAAATGCAACTTTTTCCCAGTCCATGTGTGACTCAGTGGTTTTGAACTTGGAGCTGTCATTGGATGGAAGGTTATTCTTCATGCATTCAAGCAGCGTCAGCATATCTTCCTGGGACCAGAGGTCTGGTTGGGGGGATGAGAGAGGTCAGCACACCTGGCTTATGCTACTATTCCCAGTCTTTGAGCTCTCAACCCTTAAGGGCCTGCCCTAGTCCATGGTTATGTCCCATTGGAAGGCACAGATGAGATACGACCCAACCCTAAGTAAAAGCTGGAGTCATTCTGGATTAAAGCAAGGTATTTCAGGACGACTCTAGCCCAGGCAGTGCCACATCTAGAGGGCTACACTTGAGCCCAGGTCTGGCTTACTTCAAAGTGATGGTCATTTCTAACATGCCAGGCTGTAGGGAAGGAGGGGGGTGGAAATGCAGAAGTGATCCGAAATCCTGTGGCAATGGCAATGCAATTAGCTTATCAAGAGAAGGGAGGAAAGCAGGGAAACAAGACATTTAAATGTGCTGCCAAGTTTAAGTCTAAGTCGTGGGTGGATACCCCAAGACTGGAAAGACTGAAAATAGGGTGTAGGCAATAAGGAAAGACCATACAGATGTTTCTCTGACCAGTTTAAGCAGAAACTAATATTAGACACATGGGTATGCCATCATCCTTTCTCCTTCCTGGCCCCTCAAGACAGACCAAAGCAGAATTTCTGGCAAGGAAAACAAATGGGAAACGGAGAATGAAACGGCAGCTCTGAGGCTCAGCGAGCACTGGGCAAAAACTCTCAAAGCCCTGCTCCTGGTAGAACCCCCCAAATTCTAGGTCTTCTTAGTTCAATCCCTCAGGGAGGCAAAACAAAAAGAAAACAACAGCCTGGACCAGCAATTGAATGTCAACCCCTGTAAAGGTTCTGGCCCCACTCTGGAATGGGGGCTACCCTGGGAGGGAGGGAACTGGGAGAACAGCTGTCTAAGGCTAGGAGTCAAAACGGTTCTTCATTTTCCTTTGCATCTGGTAACTTGGACCAGTGTTTCTCAGAGCAGGGTCATACAGACCCATAACCCTCTCTCTACCCACACTGGCCATGCTAGATGCTGAGCTTCATTTTCCTGCCTCCCCCCCATGACTGGATTCCTACTGGATGGGACAGGGTCAAGTATGGCTCTCCTCATGGCTAGGGGCCTCAAAAACCAAAACCCCATGTTGTTGTCTCTCCAAAAACCTTAATTATCTTCATAACAACAAAAAGCTTGAAAGGCTTTCCCACCCTTCCCACCCCCACCCCTGCTCCTCCCTCATCCTTCCTCCCATTCCAGGGCACTGGGCAGGGCCAGGCTCCCCCCAGTAGTAACTTGCACTCCTTAGAAGAAAGGGGAGTTTGAGGAATATAACTTACAGACTTGAGGCCAAATAATTAGGATTTAACCAAGCTACTAAGGTAAAAGGTTCCTGTAGATACTCAAGAACAGCCCCCCCCCCCTCAATTCACAGCTCAGACTGGAGAAACACTTTATAAGGGGCGTGGACCTTGCAGACGGCCATGTGGAACAAGGACTGGAGGGTGGGGAATCCTACCTTGGCCTTTGGGGGCGGCCATTTCCAGGTCTGTGGGGCAATCGGCTTCTCCGTTCATTCTCTAGCCGTCCAGCCACCTCCTGGGTTGTGCTGGCAGGGTACGCCGGGGTCAAGGCCACCTCACCCTGAAGAAGAGATGCCAGTCCCTATTCAGGCAGGCAGGCAGGCAGGCAGGCAGGCTGAGAGGTGAGGGACCTGCCCCTCCCTCCCTCAAAAGGGAGGGAGGCACAAGTCCACACTATCTGAGAGGCCTTGCCAAAAACCTAGTAGCCTTAAAGGGTTGGTGGGAGTAGGAGTACTTAATGAACCCAGCAGTTTCTCCTCTTCCTAAACCCCTCCCCCAGGCCCTGCAACCCGACCACTCGCCATGCGCCCTCCCTTGCCCACGCGAGAGACTGCTCCCAGCTCCCGCGTGCAGCGAGTGCCCGCCCTCCTTCCCCCACCCTCCTTCCCCCACCCGGGTTAAAAAAAAAAAACAAAACTCCACCTCCACGGTCTGCCCGCCCCGGGGAGGCCCCAGGCTGGAGGGCGGGGGAGGAGGAAGGGCGGGTAAAGGGCGCGCGCGGCCGCGGGAGCGGGCACGCGCCGCAGTCTCCTCCTCCCGCTCCCCCACCCCCCCGCGGCCGGTTCCCCCCGCCTCCGCAACCCGGCGGGGACCCGGACGCAGCTCAGCCGCCGCCGGCCCTAGAGCACAGCGGCCGTACCGCCCCCGGGGACCGGATCTGGATTCCGCCGCCCCCCCCTCCGGCTCCTGCCGTCGTCCCCGCCCGGCTGGGCCGGGGAGCAGCCGGAGAGAAGCGGCCTAGCCTGTCCCCCGCCCCGAGCCACCCACCCCGGTCAGAGGCGCCGTCACCGCCCAGCCACCCGACGCGCACTGAGGAGCCCGGCGCAGAGGCGCGACCGCGGCGGGAACCGCCGCCTCCTCCCCCGAGCCTGC